ATCAACCTAGTGATCTTAGGATTAATCCACTCATACTTTAGAACAGATACAATACAAGATCATACACGCATAAGTATAGATATACTTGTAAAGCATATACGTATATACAACCGGTATTTAGATGACGGACATCATGTCTGGTTCATTAACTCTCTGTGACAACGATGAGTTTTAGTGCAGCCACGGTGATACTTATTAATGCGGGGCAAATGTAGGAGCCCGGAGGATTGCATCCTGGAGGAGGATTGGGACCGTGGCACGGGTTGAGGGCACCGTAATCTATGTAATTGTTACGACCCTCCACGGGTTCCGCAATCACGGCGGCACAAATCACTAGCAAGCATAGCATCCATGCCTTCATATTTCCGGATATATTTGTTGGTCTTTCTTCTTCTTGTTTTTGTTTGTTGTAAAAATGAGGGAAGCGTAGAATATATATTTATACTAATTACTAATTAGGTCTTTTGTTTGTTTGTTGTGAAAATGAGGGAAGCGTAAAATGAGGGAAGAGAAGTCAATTTGGTTAGATCATGAGTTAGTTTTTCTTCACCAAAAAAAAAAGAACATGAGTTAGTTTTAGCTATATTAAGGATCTTCAAAATTAGGTCTTGTGAGTTTTTCTTTCTTTGTTTATTTTTCATTTCAAATTTTGGCAGATGATGAACGTTTAATTGATAACTTGAACTCCTCTTCTCACTCGAATTCGAATATCGAACTACAATCCTTTGCAAACCTCTACGTACGGTTCAAATGGATTTATTGACCGAACAAAAATTATGTTAATTTGCTTACCACTAAAACAGAGATTGATCAATCTCACAAAATTTTATTATTTATTGAGTATATATACATTTTTACTTGTTAAATAAATAAATAAAAAGAGAGAGATTCGTTAATTTTCATATAATTTGTGTACAAGCTAGCCTCTATTGCTTCACAAGCTGGGGGATGCTGTATGGCCTAGTTAGGATTCCATCAAATGCGCCTTTAGCCACCATCATATTGGTAGCTTCGGAGCTGTGAATGTCATCCCAAAAGACATATTCAGTCCGGTTTGCGCAAACTGGGTGGTTCGGGATGCAAAGTTCTTCCCCTGGGGATACCTCGCAACAACCCTTGTCTCGAATCGTAAATCCTATGACATTATGAGAACAAGGTAAGTTCAATTGTTTTTTTTTACGAGTTCAAAAGGTTCAAGCAATTATTTTTGGATTTTCATGTCAAATATGAAAAGTATATATAAAAATATGTTTATTATGAATATAAATTGCTAGAGAAATCAAATAATTTAATCGCATAATTGAAATGTTGTATATTTGTTCTTTTTGTATCTAAAACGTTAATTTATTTTTATTAAGTCAATCTATTTCTCCTATAATTCTCACAACACTCAAACTATAGATTTGATATGACTATTGGCACAATGAAACACACAAGTAGAAAGAGATTATAAGTCTTCGTTAAAATGCTTTTTTTATCTACATATATATAGAAAAACTCGAGTTTGATGGAAATCCAACCATCTGAACTAACAAAATGTAGATATGTTTTCCACATTTTAGGGAAGGATAGGGTATATATATATATGTGTGTAATATAATTCATGAGTTTAGTATAATTTTACCTAGAATTTTATAAGCTAAGGGATCTCCACCGGAGAAAAGATCGACGAAGGTGAACTTAGCACCTTTGACCTTCTTATTGAAATCCGTGACAAGGTCATTGATATTCTTGTTGAAAATTGCCACTGCATCATTCACTTTGAGCGCACAACCTTTACCGTTACCATGGGACTCTACCATCTTTGGTGTGCATCCGATTTGACAGACTCCAAAAAGTATCACCTTCCTTGCTCCTAGACGGTATAAATTCTACAAACAAAACAAATAAAATAAAAATATAAAACTATATGTATAAGAAATTGGTGTTACGTAGCAGAATTATTAATGTAACATTGAAGATCAGTTGATGCTAGAAATACTAAAAAAATTAATATAAATGCAGGGTTATTTGTTTAATCTAAGAATCTCAGAATACAACCATATCTCTTAGACTTGTAGAGAGATCTTTGTAAGTCTATCAAAAGCGAATAAAAGAAGAGAGACTAAATAACACCAAACCTAATTGAAATATGATAACTACCAAAGTAATTTTAAAAAATGCAAGCAATGAATAATTATTTTAAATCTACGCTCCATCAAAATTATAACTAAAGTGTTCCATTTTACCTTCAAATGAGCACGGTAGAGAGTGATGAGAGAATATGCATATGGTCCAGGCTTAAAGCGACGGTTGTTGGACGAGTTTGACCTGAAGTAGTTGTTGATATAATCGTTGCTTCCGATGTTTATTGCATAGAGACATTGCTCCAATTTTTTTTTTGGCACCTTCGCTCTCTTTATCGCCTTCTTGTGGTTCTGTATTTGTGTTTTTAGACTGATTCTATCACCCTATATGTTGCCACAGATCAATAAATGTTTATTTAGCTGAAAGTTATACCAAAGAACTAAGTTTGAGTTGTTTTCATCTAGTAACTATACTTATTATACTTATATGCTAACAAAAAAAAAACAACTGTTAAATGATTATAGCAGTTTTTATTTAGAAAAAAAAAATAGTTTTGGGTTGATTTCATATAGTATTTACGACCATTTCCAATGTATATTACTATTTTTATCTCTAAAATAGAGAAAATTATACCAATTTTTCTATTTCTTCTCCAATGTATCTCTATTTTAAAGGAATAGCTATAATATAGAGGAAAAATAGCAATTCCCTATTTTTGCCTCTATATATA